GGAGGCTGCCATTACTGACCTCTTTTTCGGAAAATACAAGTTGCTTGGTTGTCATGGTGATCCAATTCTTCAATACTTAAGTAATTGAACCTTTCTGCTTCATCCTGCTCAGTGATTTAGAGGGCACTGAAGTACACATGGCAAGACTGTGGGTTTAGAGATATGTTGGCCTAGCAAGCACAAGTCATTTTATAACCATCTGGTACTACTATGCACTGACAGGTTCTCTTTGTCCCTGACTTTCACATGAGGTGTACAGACAAACCCCCATCAGCATTAACTTTCTGATAAAATTCAGGTTATTGCAGTGGATCCGGTATAGATTGTGACCTAGGTTTTCGTCATTCTGCTCAGGTATTTGTGTGTCATTGGTAAGAATGAGCAATGTGTGAATCTCAGGTGACAGTGACTCATCCATCATAAAAGTGTTTGCAATGAAATTGTGTTGCTTATAGCAACCAATCCGATCCCTGACGTTCTTTACTTAGAGAAGGTAGATAAGAAGGAGCTGACTGGCTGCCATAATAATACAGACATCACAGACATGAACATTTCAGACAGTCTTTAAGGGAGAACTATTGGGTTAGGGCTTTTCCCTATAGTTCTCCTTAGGGTAACAGGAGGACACAAACTAGCGTCCTCCTGTCACCCTAAGCTCAGTATACCGCAAGCTACTGCTCGCGGTATACTGAGACGACGCAGCTGAAGCGGATCCCGACAATTATGTCTGGATCCACCCAGCTGCGTGAGTGACAGCTGGCTCTGCCTATCTAGAGGCAGAGTCAGCTGTCCCCTTCCCCGTCTGTTCCTCCAGTCAGCGCTGGCGGATCGGAGTGGGGAGGGGGGAATCCAGCCCCTCCCCTGTCACGGCAGAGAGCCGTGACAGGATCGAGAAGTGAGCGAACGCCGGTATGTGTTCGCTCACTTCCCGATCTACTGAGCCGATCTGTGACAGTTTCATTGTCACAGGTCGGCTAGAACTATGAGGTGAGTGAAAAGCACTCACCTCATAGTTCTCCTTTAAGCAAGTCTTACAGACTGTAAACTTTAGCATCCTTGCAGCTGGCTACAGGAGGACAGAACTGTCCTGTGGCTGCCTATGTATCTGAATGATTAGATATGGGGTAGGTAACCTCGCCACTCTAGCTGTTGTGGAACTACAAGTTCCATGAGGCAGTGCAAGATTCTGATAGCCACAGACTCCAAGAGGCAGGATGGAATTGGCGCTGTCACCACAGCTGGAGTGCCAAGGTTGCCTACCGGTGATCTAATCATTTGGACAGCCTTCACTGCACTGGAATTCCAATCTCCAGCCCTGCCTGTAAGACTACTAAACTCATTTCTGCCTCAGCAAACCAATGCTATTTCCTGGACTCCCTAGAGTCTTCCCACACACTGGACTTGGTCAATTATCAGCAGTGTGACATTAAAGGGTATCTATGGTCAAAGACAAGAAAAACATGAACTACAACTCAACATATGTACCTGTGAAAGTGATGTGTCAGAAATAGGAAAATCTCTATTTCACAGAAATGAGTGCATAGAACCAGCATATTAGTGTACCAAGCAGTAGGTGGAGCCGGACTTTGGACACTGCAACATAATAGACAATTTGGGGCTTTTTTGTGTGACAATGTTGCACTTAATTTCCCTGTCTCAATTTCCACTCTGCACTGCTAATAGTTTATCAGGCCCACTGCATGTAGGGAAAGGGCTTTTAGGAGATGTAGATCTGGTGGCATGTCTACACCAGTAGCAGTAGGAACTGAGCTCCAAGCAGCTGCCTGGCAAAAGCGTGGTGATGTCACAGGGGATAACAAAAGTTCTTTACTGTTACAGGAAGGAAAGAAAAAAAAAGTATCCTGGCACATTGTAAAACCCTTCCTGCAGCTTTCTTTTAGGATTGGTCAGGTCATTTGATGCCAGCCATGTGTATGTCAAGCCAAAAGCATTTTTTCGAGTTTAGAAAAGAATGAAGAAGGATTAGAACTCCTGTCCCTTTTTCTACTGCCATGCAGAGTTTTATTAAAGAGATGCACTCTCATTTCCTGTCCTGCTGACAACTATTTCTCCTGACAGGAAATGAGGGGATTCTGCAACAGAAACAAATATGGAAATATCTGACAGGGTTTCCAGCCTTCCACTATGAGCATTTGTATGTGTCTGTGTTGCTGTTGGTCTTATCCTCACTACCTTTCTTCTAAAACATTGTCAGCTGAACAGGAAATTAGGGTAAAAAGGTCTTTAATGGAGCCCCAGATAGCAATAAAAATCTGACAAACTTCAACTCCATCCCCACTCCATTTAAAAACTAAGAAAAGCATTTTGGCTAGACATACATTGTAAGTCTGTGGCAGTGGACACCCTGGCCAAGTGTCCTATGCAGAATTAGTACTGGGTGTCTTTTCCCTTTCTTTTGTAATGTGAACACGCAGGTCTTGGTCATAAAAACAAACTTTAGAGTGACCCCATTGTTGCCCTTGGATGGCACTGCTATGCAGTTCACACGTTACTTTGCTTTTTCTGCATACTGCCATGATGAAAAAATGTAAAAAGATTTTGAATAATAGACTCACAACCCACTGCTGACTTCCTGCAGAAAATGCTACCCCTTTGGCTGTTATAACAGTCCTTTGGTCCTCCATAATTTCTAAATTACGAGGTACAAGTATGCAGATCTGGGACAATGAAGGAAAACACTTCTGCAGCTTTTGAATCTAGCACCACTTTCAGGAGGCAACTTCCAGGGAGGTGCCCTTGACTCTGATGGGTGAAAACAGTCATGACAGGTTCGCTTTAACATCCTGCTTATTCTGTCAGACTGTAATTCTTATTTAATCTGCAATTATTATGAAATGACACCTCCGGAATGTGATACTAAGGTGACAATTCTTCTTTTCTGGTGTGCCCTTGGATCAGTGAGGTTTAAATGGGTTTCTTCCTTGTTCTTTGTGGTACCACATCCTTCTTCCCTACTTGTGTTACAGACCTTGACCCTGACAATACAAAACTGAATGGACATTAATGATCACAACACTGAAATCCTAAACTTTAGAAAACTGCAAAAGAGTGAAACTCAATAGTGAGCAAACTCACCCAGCAACATTCCCATTACATAAATGAGAGAGAGGGTATAGAGGAGGATTTGTGAAGGCACCTGGCTCCCCCTACTGTCTATCTGGAGTTCTACAATCTACTGTCAGATACAGACTTAGCTCTGCACAGAAACACAACATCCAACACTTTAGGGCTGCAACAAGTAATCGATTATTTACGATTCTCATTATCTATTAGTTGGTTTTCGATTAGTTGCCACCGCTCTGCTCCTCTGTTCTCCTCCCTGCTGGTGCTGGCTGCAGCGGTCTGTGTCCCTTTCAATCCCCGCCTGTATTGGCAGAGGCAGCGGGGACACACACAGACCATATAGAGGCTGCGGTGACTCTGCATTCCCCCGCTGCCCCCGTACCCTTCTCTGTTCCCCTGTGCCCCCTCATCTGCCCGTGTTCCATCGATCCTCGGAGTCTGAGGGATTGATAGAACACCGGTGTCAAGTCTCCCATCAGCGGCTGGAAACAATAGCCAGCCTGCTATTGTAATTTAAAATATCCAATAGCAGACTGGCTATTGCACCCGCCCACTGCCAATCAGCAGAGGAGGACCTGAAGGAGAACTTTCTCCTTCAGTTTCCTCCTTTGCTGATTGATAGCAGGCAGTGGACAGGTGCAATAGCCAGCCTGCTATTGTAATTTAAAATAGCCAATAGGAGGCTGGTTATTGCTCCCAACCACTGCATGCTGTATTTACATTCAGCTGCCTTTGCAGGCAGATGTCATTCCCTAGTGAGGTGGAAAGGTGACACTAGGGGTCTAATAGACCCCCTAATGTCACTTTAAAGAGAACCTGTCATCTCAAATGTGCTATGACATAGGGGGCCTTTTTCTTCACTGCCATCACATGGGCGGGCCTCTGCATTACGTAGCATACACAGGGGTGATCATTCCAACCCCTTGGTCATGTGATAGCTAATCACTAGGACTGAGCATTGCTCCTCCACATTCAGAAGAACCACCTATTTTGCTTCAGCAGCAATGGAGGAAGTAGAGGAGAAGCATTGTGAAGGCAAGAACAAGTCGATCGGGGAAGTGAGCTTATAAGAGACCCTTTTTTATTTTGTCCTGAACAGGTAAATGTGACAAATTAGTTAAAGGTAACATTTTAGAAGATAAACAAAAAAACATTGCTGACCTCTCCTTGCTGAAAACCTGGTGCTCGGGTCTGCAAAACAACTGTTCCCATTATGAGGGGCTGAAACTCTACTTGTTAGATTTTTATGTATTTTATATCAAGGGGAAAGTAGCAGGAACACACAAAGGTGGACGGGAGCACCCGATACTCCCAGATGGATAGGAACAAAGTGGGAATTATCGCAGGGAGATCTTGCTGTTGGAGTAACAAAGACATAAAATCCAAAGGCTTATCCACCTATAACTAGAATGGTTACCTTCCCATCCCCAGCATGTGACTGGGCAGGGAAGGAGCAGCAACAGTCCATCTTCGCTCTCTCTCCCTGTCAGCACATACTAATGCAGCACATTTACTGTATAAGGGAATCCAAAATGCTGAAATCAAATCAAGGCCATGTATGTATACTTGTTGCACTTAAAGTACATTTAATGTTTTATAATAAAAACCTAAAGTCATTTAAAATATTTTTGGGGATTTTTTTTTTATATCTGCCTGGAATTCAGCTTTAAAGTGAAATGACTCCAATTGGGGTGCCCACCCCTCCAGGTCATACATACACACACACGTCTATGGTCTGCTGAGATCTTCACTGTGTGGCCTTCTCTGTGTCACATAGGCTCTTCTCAAGATCTCCTTTGCAACGCAATCATTATTCAATCCTATAGCAAGCTCTTCCTCCAGTGAAATTGGAACTCTTTATTGCATGGAATACATTTAAAGTGAACAAGCAGAAAAGCAAATTTAGCTTGATCCTTTGCATAAAGTTTTAATAAATAAACATACAGGAAAAGATACTAGAGAAGAGTAACAATATATTACAACTGGGTTTTGCCCATTTTTAGTTGACCCTACAAGCTCGGATCATGAGCAGCTGGAGAAGAATGAAGATGGGAGACATGATATGTCCAAACCACAGTTCCTTAGCCTGTTCCACTAGCTTCTGGCATAGCAGCAACTCAAAGACGAACTTGAGGCCGAGAATGGTGAGGATCCACAGGAGGCGCAGCACAGCCTGGCGCTTCTCACCTTCCTGGAACAGTCGAACGGTGACAATGGCAGTGAAGTAGGTGCTCAGTCCATCAGCGGCAAAAAAAGGGATGAAGACATTCCACCACCCTAGGTCGGGGACCAGCTTATCCACTTTAATGGCTAGCAGGACCGTAAATGTTAGCAAGGCCAAAACGTGGATGAAGATCTCAAACTGGGCGAACCCGAGCCATTGGACCAGCTCCCGCAAGGAGAACAGCATGGTGCTGAATTAGAAAAATGGCCACTCTGACTTCAGCATTGGAATACGGTGCCCATTTGATGTTCAGATCAGTGGGGATCCTAAAAAGACAATAACCTAATATGAGCATTTCAGCTATTAAAAACACATTCAAGTGTCGTGCAACTTACAGGTGAAACTCGAATAATTAGAATATCATGCAAAGTTCATTTATTTCACTAATGCAACTTAAAAGGTGAAACTAATATATGAGATAGACTCATTACATGCAAAGCAAGATAGTTCAAGCCGTGATTTGTCATCATTGTGATGATTATGGCTTACAGCTCATGAAAACCCCAAATCCACAACCTCAAAAAAGTAGATTATTACATGCAATCAATAAAACAAGGATTGTACATAGAACAATATCGGACCTCTGCAAAGTACAAGCATGCATATGTACTCAGTACTTGGTTTGGGCCCCTTTTGCAGCAATTACTGCAATTACTTTTTGTGGGTCCTTCCTGTTCCAACATGACAGCGCACCAGTGCACAAAGCAAGGTCCATAAAGACATGGATGAAAAGCACATACAAATAATACGAACAGCGCTCTCGGATTGGGCCAAGGGAATAGGGTGCTGTAGCTCTACCTCGCCTGCAGCCCTAAGAGACAGGAGGAGTGCCTGCACTTGTGAAACAAAAAACAAACGTGAGGGCGCAAGGCTAGGGGGACTATGAAACTGATAGTAGCACAGTGGAGAAAGCAAGAGGAGATGGTTCACTTACTTTAAGTGGGTCTCGGGACCGGATGGATGTGACAGTGTGTCCGTGTCCCCGCTGAAGCAATGTGAAGTGCCAGTGATGTGAGGACTGACGTCAGGCTGGGCTGCAGCTGCGGGTGGAGGTACTCGGGCTGTGGGATGGACGTGTCTGGGCCAGTGATTCCTAATGAGCTTGACAAAGAGGTAACATCCTCGAAACGCGTTGCTCCCGAGCTTCCACCCACTACTTCACCAACCTGATCCTTCCTCACCTTACCACCATCCCGGCCGATTCTTGTTTACTATTTTACTTGTTATTTTATACAGGATTTATATAGCGCCAACAGTTTGCGCAGCGCTTTACAATATAAGGAAGACATCACAATATAAATCAAGAAAAGATGGTAAGGAGGGCCCTGCCCATGAGGGCTTACAAATTAAAAGAAGGATTATAATTATGTACAGCCAGTCTCATGATTCCTAAACCTCTGCTACACAGCACACACACTGCACAGCCTAAAAAAAGAACTTTTGCCTTACCTGAAAATGTATTTTATTAGAGTACAGAACAGGACACAGGATCAATCTCAACTAGTACCGATATATCTCTTTCGGTACTCGCTGATACCAGTACTACCGCTAGCATTGAGCTGCCTTCCCAGGCAATCAGGAAGCCGGGCGGCGTGTCATTACCCGCCACCTGATTGGCCAGGAAGCCCTCTCCATATTGTTTGGCCACCTGGGGAACAATATGGTGCTGCCTTGAAAGTGGTTACCATTAGACCCAGGACCCTTATGCATAAGCGAACAGAGGGTGGTTCCAGAACGAAAGTTCTGGACCTGTGTGCAGAGGAACAAAAGCTTGTCCGGGGGAAGAAACATACTCCAAGAGATGAGTAATGTCCAACCCTGATTTGTGGACATTGAGGATGCAACCAAAGCTCTCCAGAGTCTGCACCATCCTCTGGACATTGGCTCACAGGACCTGGACTGACTGATCCTTTAGAAGGAGATTGTCCAGGTATCCCACCATGTGGATACCCTGAGAGAGAAGCAGAGCTAGGCCCGTGCAAGTACCTTGGTGAAGGCCCTGACCCATTGCCACTGTGCCTATGAACCCCAATGTGTAGTTCAGAATGTCCTTACAACCTTGCCCACTGTGCAGAGGGATTGGGTTTAGCTTCCTGTGCCAGCCACTATAAGCAACCGGAGCCCAGGAAATATTAGAGGCTCACTGCCCGAGTGCCCGTACAGAGGGGTCACCACCCCACACATTGCCCTTACAGAGGGGAAACACAGGAGGCAGCACCCCACAAACACAGTGCCCGTACAGAGAGGAAAACAAACTGCCCGTACAGAGGGGAACACAGGGGCCACCACACTACCCGTACAGAAGAGACCAAGGGACACACACATTGCGATGTTTCTGCTCACCTATAATCAGAGCCGCACAGCTCTTCTCTCTTCTTACTTCCGCCATTACCGGTCACGTCATCTCAGCGCGCCGCGCGGTGACGTCACTAGCTCTGCAGAAGGAGGGGCTAGTGTCATCATCTGTGTATACACCGAGCATGGAGGGGTCAGGGGGACAGGTGAGGAGGGGACATTGCAGGGGAAAGGACATGAGACAGAAAAGTTACAGGAGGATGGTGGGGACATAATGGAAATAAGAGGGAGGGGGGCAGAAGAGGAGGCAAGTGGAGGGACTGGAGGTGACAGTGAAAGGAGACAATGAGCTGAATGCAGCAGAAGACGGGGACAGTGAAGAGATTGATGGAGGCAGGAGAAGAGGTGGGGGGTAAGGGGCATATGATAAGGAGTAAGAAGACCTTACAATAGTGGGAGGAGGACTTGGTTGGGGCGGGTTCTGGGGCAAGAAGGGAATGAAATGGAGGGAGGAGGAGTGGGGGGGACGACGACAAGGAGAGAATTGGGTGGGGGGAGGAGAGAAAAAAACATGGGTAAGGAGACATGTGGAAAAAGAATATGCGAAGAAAGGGGGAAAGGAGAACAAGGGTAGAAGAGGAAGGGATGGGGATGGAAGGAAAGGGCGTACAAGCTGGAGGGAGACTTGAAGAGAATATTATTGGGTGGACGGGGTACTAAAGAAGACTGGGAGAGGTAAAGGGAGACAAGAGAAGAATAAAAGAGGAATGAGGGGTGTCAAAGGGGAATGAGATGGGTTGATGGGTAGCAGGAGTACATGGAGAGGCGAAGGGAGATTACAGGTTTGTGGGCACATGAAAATGATTTGAAGCAGGGATGTATTTTTCTGTAAAAGCAGAAGCCTCCACTGTCATAAATGTTCTCTAAAACTGTATGTTATATCTCTGTTCTCCTGGCACCTCAGATGGCAGAGAGGAAGATCCTGGTACTTTTTGGAAGTCAGACGGGGACAGCCGAGGATATGGCAGACAGGATTGGCAGAGAAGCCCTGCGAAGACACTTTGCCTGCAGAGTGGAAGCTTTAGATAGCTACAGTGTGGTTAGTGCTTCAATACAGACATCACACTGGGAAGAAGGCAGCTGTCTGGTTCTTAGAATTTAATCTATCAAGAAAAGCTTTGTTTGGGTACACATATTACATAAACATGGCCAGGATGTCTGAAATCTGAATGTTTCCAAGGACTTTTCCTTTACAATCATGTTTAATATCCCAGCCATCACATGCCAAGAAAGTCAAAATAAAAACATTGAAATACTGTAGATGAGGGCTCTCACTGTGCTCTGTGACTGACACCTAGTGGACAGTGAATGAGTTACATCTGTAACATATTCCCACAAACATTTCCTGTGCCACAGTGAACTCTCTAATACAGGTGGCATGGTGACTTTGTGGTTAGTATGTGGATGCTCTCCCTGTGCGTATGAGGGTTTCTCCCATCACATAGTTCAGACAGTCTTGTGACTGGCCAAAATATACTGGTCAATAATTAGTTCTCTGTGCTGTCCTATTACATTTCATCCAAACAGTAATATGGGTAACCTGTTAAAATCTGTATCTTGTTAAAATATTTGAACTAGACACAAAGGCACTTTAAAACACCCTGTCTCCTGATATATATAGATGGAGATCAAGCTGCTCTTTTTTTCAGGCTGCAATCTGTTTAACAGAGCTCTTGTATCTTCAAATATGTTATTCCTGCAATAGTGTACTTATTATTTTCTACAGGTTAATCTTATTCATGAAACTCTTGTCATCTTCGTCTGTGCGACCACAGGGCAAGGTGACCCACCAGATAATATGAGAGTAAGTGACGTGTTGGTAATTCATTAAAACATATTTATTTTTAAACACAACTGTCACTTGAATATGTCTTTACATTTGCCTCCTGAAATCCTCTGCATGAGGTTCTGTGGATCTGAATAGTGATGTCATTCTAACATTGTGAACAGGTTTACAGGAGGGGTGAGCACAGGGAGGGCCTCATAAGTGCTCTTCTGCTACTCCCTTGTCCTGGAACAGGCTGTGTTGCTTAACAACAGTGTCCAGGGATGTCTGCTAGGGGTGCCTGGGTCTAAGGAATGGTAGAACTGAAATGAAATATCTTTTGACAAGTAAAATTTTACCCACATGTATTTCATCTGTGTATCTAGCTGTTTCCCTGGGGATCTTATATTAATATGTGCTTTCCAATGCCTAATGCCCTTAAACATAGTGAGGTTGATTTACTAAAGCTGTAGAGGCCGTTCACCCTGCAAACTAGCAGGGTTATTCACATAAGGGTGAAGAGTTTGGAGAAGGCAGGAGAAGTGAACAATCTAGGACAACATAGCTGATTTGGAGAATTTTTCCAAATCCCTTATTTTGGCCTAGATTGTTCACTTCTCCTGCCTTCTCCAAACTCTTCACCCTTATGTGAATAACCCTGTAAATATTTACCGAGCTTGGTAAGTTCAGTGAAGCCTTGTTTACTTCAATCAACCAATCATGTTCCCATTCATTTAATTTGCCTCATGCTTGATTGGGTATTGAAAGTAAACACTTTTCCAAGTGAACATGCTTTATTCCTTTAGTATATTAACTGCTATGTGGCTTTGCAAACCCTTCTGCCTCCGCAACTACAGAGCTGAGCATTTCTAGATTAGATCATGGTATTTTTTTTGTCTAGGCTCAAACCTGCCACTCAGGCTAATATACATATTTGAAACATACTGGCGCTGTAGGTGCACCCTAAATGATATGGCATTGCATCTGCAAAAATTATTCTTTTTAAAAATACAATGGGGTTATGAAAGGAGACGAAACTTACAAAAAGTGAATCTTTCCCTAGCTTTGTAAATCCGGTGAATATGTGTTCTCATTAAATACCAAAACATGTGCAGAGAAATAAAAAAAAAAAAAAGATTTTTTTTTCTTCTTGCAGATGACTGAATGATAGAAGTGAATACACCTTATTCATTATGCTCAGTGAATATTCACTTTGCTAAGTGAGCAATCTTCATTCCTTTAGTAAAATAGACCCACTGAGTTGATACTGTGCAACTTTTTCGGATGCAGATAGTGCTTGAAAGAGGTTTTATTTAAAAATCCCCAAGTAGAATAATTTTGGAGTCTTTACCATAAACTTGTCAGTGCAGATCTTTCTCCTCCTCAATCTGTCATTGTATCTTCTCATCTGTCTTATTCCAGAACTTCTGGAGGTTTATTTTCCGCAGAAATCTGCCTCAGAATTCCCTGTGTCGGATGGATTATGCTGTGCTTGGTCTTGGAGATTCTTCCTATCCAAAGTAAGATTGCAGTTTGATTCTAGTATAGAAGTGTTGAGGGTTAAATTTGAACTCCAGACATGAAAAGGTCATATAGCTGTGAAATTGAAGGGCCGTCATAGCTGGAATATATTGGGATCCTTTTTACTACGCTAAATCTTGATAAATTATTCTTTTTAAAGTCCACCTTTATGACCATGTTTCCCATTACACTCATTTGGGTTGTATTATGAAACGTGGTCAGATCACAAAATCCTTTTCATTTCTTTGCTTTGTACTAAATATTCAAAAATATAAGTTACATTATTAGACCTTTGGTCCTCTGGAACTTCCCACATATCCTTGGTACCATTCTGAGGTCCAACGCCTCTCTCCCTCCATTCGCGGGTGTTGACAAACTCCGGGCTCTGTCACTTTCACTCACTGTCTTTTATAAATATATATTAAATATACATTTTTAAACTTGTGGTCCTGTGGAAACTTGTTCAAGACCTGATTTTGGCCTTGCTTGTCTCTAATATCTAATCTAATATTTCTTCCAATTCATGTTACACCAGGTTCAACTTTATAGGCAAGAAACTACACAAGCGGCTTCTCCAGCTTGGTGCTAACCCAATTCTGTCTCCCGCTCTAGGAGATGACCAGCACGACCTGGGGTAATTATCAGACAGTGAGCTGTTGC